TGTGGTCGTTTTGAGTCTCTGTGGTCATTTTGCATCAGTTTTTGGTCATTTTGTGTCTCTTTGTCGTCATTTTGTGTCTCTTTAGGGTCATTTTGCGTCTCTGTGGTTGTTTTGAGTGTCTTTGTGGTAATTTTGCATCTCTTTGTCGTCATTTTGCGTCCCTTTGTGGTTGTGTTGTGTCTCTTTGTCGTCATTTTGTGTCTCTTTGTGGTCGTTTTGAGTCTCTGTGGTCATTTTGCATCAGTTTGTGGTTGTTTTTTGTCAGTTTGTGGTCATCTTGGGTCTGTTTGTAATCCATCATGTCCCTTCGTGGTCATTTTGCATCTCCTTTGGGTCATTGTGGGTCAGTTAGTAGTCCATTGCATCTCTTTATGGTCACTTTGCGTCTCTCAGTTTGTGGTTGTTTTATGTCTTTTTGTGGTCATTTTGTATCTCGTTATCTTTTGTTTCTTGCAGTCCTTTTGCATTTCGTCAATTTGCATCTCTTTGAGGTCATTTTGTCAATTTGTGGTTGTTTTGCGTCTCTTCATAGTCATCTTATGTCTTGAGGTTTTCGTGCATCTCTTCATTGATGTTCCATAAGGGAAATGTCATTTTCAACACCTTGTACACCGTTTTAAAAATATTGCAGAGAATAAAGACGACCTAATGTTCCCTTTGATGGTTTAAAGCTGACTCCTATGAAATGGAACTGAATGTCTGAGATAAATAAAGTTGAATGTTGATTTACTTTTATAAAAACGTTGGTGGTGCTGAAAACTACCTGAAGGGTTAAAGATGCTTTGATCTCCTGCAGTGACAAATATTCATCTTAAATGTTTGGTATGTAGCTTTCTGTCCACCTGGCGCCTCGATGCAATAAACCCTGACATCGTTACAAATAAACCTGATATCACAGATGCTACTCGGCCTCTAGAGTAAAACCTGGGGCGGTCAGATTGCAGCAGGTGTGAATTAGTCCAGTTCTATCAGTGCCCAGCGTGCGTCCTTTCTTTCTTTCTGAGAAGTGGAGGCTGTTGATTAGAAAGACCCCGCGGGGCAGCTCTCTGAGCTCCTTACAGCAAACACAACAGGCTTTTGTTTCCCCGCTGCCCTCAGACTGCAGATCCATGCATTCTCTCATGGATTACCGCTCGCCTCCCGCTGCTTTCATCTGTCGGGGGCACATGATGGCTTGCTGCTTTAGTGGACTCTCAAGGACATTTTCTTTTACATGACACACAAAGTCTTCGCGGTGGTTTTTGACAGAACAATCTCAGCTCAAGGTCCACTCGATATTTCCTCCGGACCGCTCACCTGTACCACAGCCTTCATCAGAGAGTTTGCCCAGTTGTCATGGACGACATTGATGAGGAGTCCAAACAGTGAAGTGTCCAAACACAAATGTAGTTTTAACGTCTACAGATCCACGACTGAACAAACCTCATGACTACATGAGATGGTTGACAGCAGACATTGACCAATTTACTGGCTTGAAAGATGGATCGCCACAGGAATTTATTACCTAAATTACCGAGTGATCAGATATCACCTTTTGCATGTTCCAAACTATTATTACTAAATCGACCTTTGATCGTCCAATATTGGTCACTATCGTCTAGTTCCGTTATATTTGAGAGAAGGCAGACATCTTCACTGCCGATCCAACGCTCGGCAACTCACACCAAAACTATCTAGACTGATAAACAGCTCTACAGGTAAGAGGAAGACTATGTATGTTTGATTTTAGGGTGTACTGTCCCTTTAATTGTGCTTGAATATGATCGTCCTTTGAAAGGTTGAGTCCTGAAATGTTGAGAGATCGAAGTCTCACTTCCAGTTGATGTTAATCTGCAACTGTTGTGAGTTCCTGCTGTTTTCAGACGCTGATCAATTTCCCACTGCTGCTCTGAATCACTGTCATGAGACCAAGTGTCTGTGTGTGTGTGTGTGTGTGTGTGTGTGTGTGTGTGTTTCGTTACCTCTCCATTATCTACTTTGTCACCAATGTCACATCAATCGTTTTTCAATTTTCCCTCAAACGCTGCAGCTGCGTTCGCCAGCATGCAATTAACCTAGGTCGACCAACAGTTGTTTAGATGTGAAGACATGACGACAGCGTGCATGTGTGTGCAGACTGTGATTGGACGATAAAACCATCGGCACCTACAAGAGATATTATTTAGAAATGTCACTGTAAGCAGAGGCAATGAGGCAACCTGGTCTGACTCCGAAGTCGCTGAAATTCGGCGCTTGGTCAGTGACTTTGGGATCAGACACTGACAAAAAAAAATGTCCTTAAATGTCGGTATGATACACGGCTGGTCACCATTACTGTTTAACGGTACCTGGTAGCGTCAGGGGGGAGACGGAAGGAGGCGGAAGTCTGAGTAGGGTGGGTCGGACAGTAGGTGGATGGGTCCAACAACCACCGACTTTCACCTGCAAGGCCGGGGTGTTCATTTCTCGTGTGATTGGTAAGCCAAACCCTGTTCCTTTGTCCTAAACCCAACCACATGTGTGTGTTGGCGAAAACCTAACGACGTCTGAATGTTTCTTAAACCTAACGATGTGTGAATGTTTCTTAAACCCAATGACGTGCGTATGTTTCTTAAACCTAACAACATGTGAATGTTTCTTAAACCTAATGACGTGCGAATGTTTCTTAAACCTAACAACATGTGAATGTTTCTTAAACCTAACAACATGCGAATGTTTCTTAAACCTAATGACATGTGAATGTTTTGTTAAACCTAACGACGTGCGAATGTTTCTTAAACCTAACAACATGTGTATGTTTCTTAAACCTAATGACGTGCATATGTTTCTTAAATCTAACAACATGTGAATGTTTCTTAAACCTAATGACGTGCGAATGTTTCTTAAACCTAACAACATGTGTATGTTTCTTAAACCTAATGACGTGCGTATGTTTCTTAAACCTAACAACATGTGAATGTTTCTTAAACCTAATGACGTGCGTATGTTTCTTAAACCTAACAACATGTGAATGTTTCTTAAACCTAATGACGTGCGTATGTTTCTTAAATCTAACAACATGTGAATGTTTCTTAAACCTAATGACGTGCATATGTTTCTTAAATCTAACAACATGTGAATGTTTCTTAAACCTAATGACGTGCATATGTTTCTTAAACCTAACAACATGTGAATGTTTCTTAAACCTAATGACGTGCGAATGTTTCTTAAACCTAACAACATGTGTATGTTTCTTAAACCCAATGACGTGCGTATGTTTCTTAAACCTAACAACATGCGAATGTTTCTTAAACCTAACGACGTGCGAATGTTTCTTAAACCTAATGACGTGCGAATGTTTCTTAAACCTAACGACGTGCGTATGTTTCTTAAACCTAACGACGTGCGAATGTTTCTTAAACCTAACGACGTGCGTATGTTTCTTAAACCTAACGATGTGCGAATGTTTCTTAAACCTAATGACGTGCGAATGTTTCTTAAACCTAATGACGTGTGAATGTTTCTTAAACCTAACGACGTGCAAATGTTTCTTAAACCTAATGACGTGTGAATGTTTCTTAAACCTAACGACGTGCGTATGTTAGCAAAACCTAACAACATGCGAATGTTTCTTAAACCTAATGACATGCGAATGTTTCTTAAACCTAACGACGTGCGTATGTTAGCAAAACCTAACGACATGCGAATGTTTCTTAAACCTAACAACATGCGAATATTTCTTAAACCTAACGACGTGCGAATGTTTCTTAAACCTAATGACGTGCGAATGTTTCTTAAACCTAACGACGTGCGAATGTTTCTTAAACCTAACGACATGCGAATGTTAGCTAAACCTAACGACGTGCGAATGTTTCTTAAACCTAATGACGTGTGTATGTTAGCTAAACCTAACGACGTGCGAATGTTTCTTAAACCTAACAACATTCGAATGCTTCTTAAACCTAATGACGTGCGTATGTTAGCTAAACCTAACGACATTGCCTTAACCTAACAACGCATATCATGCTGACGTGACAGGATGCTTTATTTTGACCAAGCGCCGGTATTCTGCGATTTCAGAGTGAGACCAGATTGGCTTCTAGACTTATAACCGAAACCAACATGGCGGCTTGTTTGGAGACTTCCTCATATCCTCCTGAGACCCTGTGTCCTCATATGTGGACGTCACATTTTGGGTTTACTGCACCTTATACTTCATCCTACTTAAATCACACCTGTTGTGTTTGTGCTCGGCACAAAGTAGAAAGACAACAAACTGTTTCTGTTGTTTATTTTATGTTTTTTAAAGCTTAAACTTTTTACAACGTCTTTGTGATTTCAAGTATAGTGTGTGTCGGCAGCTCAGGAAATCTGAACGATGAATAAAAAAGGGATTGAAATAACAAACGGCAGTCCGTGGCAACGGGCTCACTCTGACTTTTTGATTTTCTGCAGAGGAGGTTGCCGTGATGAAGAGGCCTCACATCTATTTCTGCCGCTCGCCCAACATGGAGGACTTCAGCTGCTGGTGGCATCCGCTCGACAACCTGACGGACGGAGAGCCGGTCAGATACGTCCTCACCTACTCCAAAGAGTACGTACACACACACACACACACACTCACACTGAGTGTAGCTCTGAGGTACCTGTACGTTACCTGAGTATTTGCTTTATTGATTATTTATTTCAGGTGTATACTTTATGCTGTAGTTGCTTCAGGTGGTGTCAAAGGTCACTGTGACTTTGGATCCATCGCATCCTTCTAAATGCGATACCTTAATAATACCTTGAAAATTTCTTTTCAAATTTGGCACAAACATCCAGTTGGACTCAATGTTAAAGTGATTAGATTTTGGTGCTCGAAGGTAAAGGTCACTGTGACGTTAGAGCCATCTCATGCTCGTGAGTGCAATATCTCAAGAACGCCTTGAGAAATTTTCTTTTCAAATTTGGCACAAACGTCCACTTGGACTCAGTGTTAAAGTGATTAGATTTTGGTGTTCAAAGGTTAATGTCACTGTGACCTTGTCCGTCTCATTCTTGTGAGCGCAATACTTCAAGAATGCCTTGAGGATTTTTTTTTTTTTTTTTCAAAAATGGCACAAACAATTAACAATAAACTGATTTAATTTTGGTGGTCAAAGGTCACTGTGACCTTGCATCGATCTCATTCTCATGAGCACGATTTCTCAAGAATGCCTTTAAGGAGTTTCTTCAAATTTGGCACAAACGTCCACTTGGACACGATGATAAACTGATTAGATTTTGATGATCATAGGTGAAAGGTCAAGGTCACTATGTCATTGTCTCTCTCATTTTTAGTGAATGTGATATCTCAGAAACGCTGTGAGAAAATTTCCTTTTAAATTCAGCACAAATGTCCACTTGGACTTAACAATAAACTGATCCAATTTTGGTGGTCAAAGATTAAAGGTCAAGGTCACTGTGACCTTGTTTCTCTCATTCTTGTGAATGCGACATCACAAGAACACCTTCAGAAAATGTCTTCTAATTTGGCACAAATGTTCCAGTTGGACTCAGCAATGTCAAGGTGAATATTATTCACCTGAAGAAAGCGTGTGTTTACGAGGATTAAAGACTAAGAAAGGTCACAAATCTTCACATTTGAGAACCTGGACCATCAAAATGTTTTTGTTTGAAAAATGTCTCAAAATAGATGTCGTTAAATATTCTTTTGATCGATTCATTGATTTATTGTTGCAGCTACACACTTGCTGAAGCGTTCTCTTATTATAAAGTCTCCTTAAAGATCCTTAAGTTTCAGTAAGTGAGAACACAGACTGCTGACACAAAATTATTCGAGCAAAATAAAATTGTTTTCTGCAGCTTTAAGAAGTCCCTCCATTCACCCTAAGGAGCTCAAACAAGGAAAAAAGAAAAGCCTCATGAATCAAAAGCAGACTAAACTTTCTGGGTCACTTAAATCCAGTTTGATTCGTTGTGCTCCACGTCACCGTGAAGCTTTTAACACGTCGATATTCCGGAGCAGCCCTGACCTCCTGATCGCCGCCTCACGTGGCTTCTGCCCGATGCAAGCCTGCCCACATGGCACACACGGCAGAGAAACCACTCGCAGTAATCAGGACAAATTGGATTGACCCGACTAGGCATCGATTGTCGTCTCGTTCTCCCGCAGCTGCAGATGTAAATCTGGGATTATGTGGGAAGAAAAAACAACTCAACATTTTGAAAAGTGACTGTTCACTTGATCAGATTTATAAGTGTTTGCTACAGTGTTTAGATCATAAAGATCTAAAAATTCATGGTGAAAAAATTCAAATACAACATCCAAGTTACCCGGGACAGGATAGGAAATCTATGGAAGCAAATGAGAGACATAAATATTTTTAGTTTAACAGCCAATGAATTCATACAATTGAATTATTTTACTCTGAAAACCATGGAACTAAAATTATTTGTTCTGAATTCACTTCTTTGAAATAAAAATATGAAATTGCTTGATTTGCAATTTTAAAAGCTGAATTTAAATACATTTTTTCAGTGTTAACAAATTCAGATTCAAAAATTCCAGTTTCATAATAAAAGAAAACATATTAAAAAAGAAAAGAAAATAATAAATAAATAAATTATAAATAAATAAATAAATTTGGATCTAAAAATAGAATTTATATTTTTTTTTCAATGTTCACAAATTCAGATCCAAAAATTCAAGTTTCATAATAAAAAACAAAAATTTTAAAATAAAATAAAAAAAAAAATAGATTTGATTCAAATTCAGTTAATCAAATTTAGATCTAAAAATTCAACGACCGAACTACCTAGGATGATAAAGGCAGTCTTTGGCAGCTTATAACGGACATGAATATTGAAAATTTAACACCTCTTATTTATAACACTGAAATATTTTACTTTGAAATCCATGTAGCTGAATTATATAAAATTTCTTGATTTGCAGCTTAAAAAACTGAATTTCAAAATATATATATATATATATATAAAAATTCGAAGAAAAAAATTGATTTGCTCAAATTTGACTTATGTTCCATTTGAAATTTTTTCAACTTGAATTATTAGATCTGAATTCAACCAATCTTTTTTTTTTTCTTTTTTTAATTTTTAAATTTTAATATTTGGATCTGAAATTAAAAATCTGTAAATTAAAAACTTTCCTCTGACGTTCACAGTAAGGGGCCCAAACATGAGTGTCCGGACTACGTGACCTCCGGCCCCAACAGCTGCCACTTCGACAGCAGCCACACATCCATATGGAAGATGTACTGTTTGAACGTGACCGCCGTCACCGCCCGCAGGAATTACACCTCAGAGGAACACTGCCTGGATGTGGCCGAGATAGGTAAGCACCGGTGGGATGTGCCGCGGAGTGCTCCACAGGCTGGGCTGTAGCTTTATATGAGTCAGTAGTGTACAGGCGCAGATAGATACAAAGACAAGATCACTGTTTTTTCCAGCTGCTTTTTAGTCCCCAAACATTTGTGGTTAATTAAGGAACTGTTGCTGTCTCTCCTGCAGCTTCTCAGCCCCCACATGGCTGTTTTTCCAGCAGATTTTATTTGAATGTTTTTATTAATTAATACGGTTCATCGACTTACATAACCTTTTAGCTCAGGTTGTACAGATTTTAGGGATATGAAGCTTAAAGATACTCCGAGAGATGACATCACACTAAGCACTAAGTCACTTTAGGTTTATTACCAGCTGAACTTGAAGTGAGATTAATGTGTTAGTTGCTATTTCACTCTCACACCCCCTCATTTAAACACATTCCTCCCAGCTGCCATCATGTCTGTACATTTTGGCCTCTGATGAACAAATCCTTTTTTATTTTAAGCAGAGTTTTTGACATTTTATCATCCTTGAATTCAGCATGTACAGGGTCATTCCTTCAGTGAGGGACAGTTTTTAAAAGCCCATCTCAAGGACGAATGCATGAAATGAGAAGAACTTAAACCCTGCTCGTCTTTCAGAGGAGACTCTGTGTGAAAAGAGCAGATGGACTGTAGAAGTAGAATTTGTTCTGTCTGCAGCAGAAAGTAGCAGAAAGTATTTGCATAACCCCAATTATATATATTGACCCATATATACATATATATATATATATAGATCTAAAATAAGAATCATTCATTCTTTTGCTGCAACAGCTAAGCCTGTCTTTTCACATTCATGTCATTACCTTGTGTTACCTTACCTTATGTTTAGTGCAAAAGCATTTTGTTTTTCCAGCAGCTTTTTAGATACCAAAGGTGGGTGTACTTTTAGCATTCATTGCACTTTCTCCAGCAGATTTGTAGCTCTCAAATGTGGTTTTTAGGGACCCATCATCATTTTTCCTGCAGCTTTAGTGACCCATGGCTGTTTTGCCAGCGGGTTTTCAGCCCCTAAATGTGGGTGTTTTTAGCAAGCCATGGCTATTCTTCCAGCTGCTTTTCAGCCCCAGTATGTTGCTGTTTTTTAATGATCCGTCACTGTTTTTCCAGCATTTTTTTAGCCTGAAAACATGGGTGGGTTTTTTGCGACTGTGGCTGTTTTTCCTGCAGCTTTTCAGCCCCTGAACATGGGTGTGTTTCTAGGGACACATGGCTGTTTTTCCAGCTGCTTTTCAGCCCCAGTATGTGGCTGTTTTTTAGTGATCTGTCACTGTTTTTCCAGCATTTTTTTAGCCTCAAAACATAGGTGGTTTTTTGCGACTGTGGCTGTTTTTCCAGCGTCTCTTTAGCCCCCAAACATGGCTGTTTTTCAGCTTTTGAGGCACCAAACGTAGGTGATTTGCAGCTGCTTTTTAGCCCCCAAACATTGGTGGTTTGTTGAGGAATTGTTGTTGTTTTTTGTGCAGCTTTTCAGCCCCCAAACATGGCTGTTTTTCAAGCAGATTTTCAGCCCCAGTATGTGGCTGTTTTTTAGCGATCCATCACTGTTTTTCATGCATTTTTTTAGCCTCAAAACATGACTGGTTTTTTGCGACTGTGGCTGTTTTTTCTGCAGCTTTTCTGCACCCAAATGTGTCTGTTTTTCAAGCAGATTTTATTTTTATATTTTTATCAATTAATATGTTACTGACTTACATAATCTTTTAGCTCTGGTTGTACAGACTTTAGGGATATGAAGCATTTAAAGATACTCCGAGAAATGACATCACACTAATCAAAATCACCAGTACAGGCACTGGTGGATCGTTTGTATTGCAAGGGGTTAAATCCTATTTTTCATATTTTCTTTGATATTCATATGCGCTGCTTCAGAGGATACAACAGTGTTTTGAGTCAGTGAAACAACAGTAAAACTGCAGCTTTATAGTTTATGTTCTTCTCTCGTTAAAGCACTTAGACAGCTGCTGCTGATTTATATGAACACATTTATATAACAGTAATAAAACTGTATAAACATTACATCACACACAGCAGGGATATGTTTATTTTTAGCAGCGTTTTTCCCACTCTTTCATACTGAAATTCAGTACTTACAGGGTCGTTCCTTCAGTGAGTGATGGTTTCTAAAAACCCATTTAACGAAAGCCTGAAATGAAAAACACTTAAACGCAGCTCTTCCCTCTGTGTGAGAACAGCATGAATCCTCTGCCAGCACTTCATCTCATTTATCGAGCGGGTTATTACCCAGACTCGTCTTCGCTGCAGACCCAGGCCCTGTCACCTCAGCTGGTGTGAGGTGCAGCAGAGATGGAGGTCTGCTGTGTGTCATATATGTGAAGAAGAAGAAGAAGCACATGGGATGTGTGTGATTCATCAGAGCTTACATGTGTGTGTGCATCCGTGTGATCTTTTGTTTCGGAGGAGGTCAGGGACGGCTCTCTTATCACGGCCCTGCAGGGAATTCAGCCCAGGCCTGCAGAAACACAGCACACAGCCTCGACTCTGTCGCTGTAACTGCTGTGTTACTGAAAGGTCATTCCTCACGTTGATGGAAAATAACGGCAAATAATCATGTCACCAATTAACACTACAGTTTATAACATGTTGGAAGATCAGCCCCAATAAGTGGCCATGATTTAGTGATCTGTCGCTGTTATTCCAGCAGCTTTTCAGCCCCCAAACGTGGCTGTTTCTTTGATCGTGGCTGTTTTTCCAGCAGCTTTTTAGCCTCAAAAACTGTCTCACTGTTTTTTTTAGTGACTGTCTCTGTTGTTTCTGCAGCTTTTTAGCCCCTGAACATGGGTGTTTTTTAAGCTACTGTTGCTGTTTTTCTAGCTGCTTTTCAGCCCCAACATGTGGCTGTTTTTAAGTAGTTCATCACTGTTTTCCAGCAGATTTTTAGCCTCAAACGTAGGTGATTTACAGTGGCTTTTTAGCCCCAAACATTGATGGTTTATCAGGGAACCATTACTTATTTTCCTGCAGCTTTTTAGCCCCTAAATGTAAGTGTTTTCTTTGTGACTATGGCTGTTTTTCCAGCAGCTTTCTAGCCTCAAAACGTGGCTGTTTTTCATGCAGCTTTTGAGCCACCAAACTAAATTTCCAGCGGGGTTTTTTAGCCCCCAAACATTGATGTTTATCAAGGAACTGTTGCTTTTTTCCTGCAGCTTTTCAGCTCCAATACGTGGCTAGTTTTTAAGAGACTGTCTGTTTTTCCTGTGGCTTTTTAGCCCCTCAACGTGGCTTTTTTAGCAAGACATGGCTGTTTTTCCTGCAGCTTTTTAGTCTCAATCGTGGCTGTTTTTTTTTTTTTTAAGCAAGAACGTGATGGATTCACTTTAGCGTGAGCATGCATCAGTTGTTCTGAAGTCTTTAAAAAAAATGGATATCTATGAATAAAAATGTGCACAATATGAATTATAAATGAACTCAATGAGGTCATAAATGTGAAATAACTGATGTTTCCTTGCTGCATGAATAATAGAGGATATCATCTCATTATAACATCCAGCTCTGAAAGATTTACAGCAACATGCTCCATACATGGAGGCCTTGCTTCACTACATCTATTTTTAATTATACATATACATATATATGACCAGGGGATTAGTCACAGTGCATCGTGGGCCAGTGAAGAAAATGGTGTAGTGTGTGAGCTGACTTTGTCATCAGGAGGTGGAGGGGATGGTGGAAGGTGTGTCACCGAGGCAACTGCGACCAAGCTGCAGCCCACTATGAGACCAACAAAGTGAGGGTGTGTCTTAGCGACCAATCACTGTTTATCCTGCAGATTTTTAGGCACCAAACAGTGTTTTTTAGCAGCCACGGCAGTTTTTCCAGCGGAATTGTAGCCCTCAAACATGTGGTTTTTAGGATTCATTTTTCCTGCAGCTTTTCCACCGATGAACGTGGCTGTTTTATAGTGACTCATCCCATTTTTTCCTGCAGCTTTTCTGAACCCAAACTTGGCTGTTTTTCAGTGACTAGCCACTGTTTCTTTTTGGAAACCTAACATGGGTGTTGCTGTTTTCCCTGCAGCTTTCCAGCTCCCAAACATGGCTGTTTTTTAGGAACCTATGACTGTTTTTCCTACCGCTTTTTTAGCCCTAATCATGGGTGTTTTTAGCAACCATGGCTGTGTTTCCAGCTGCTTTTGCCCCAATACATGACTGTTTTTTTAGTGATCCATCATTAGTCTTCCAGCGACTTTTTAACCTCAAAATGTGGCTGTGTTTTTTAGTGAGTGTCACTGTTTTTCCTGCAGCTTTTCAGCCCTTAAACGTGGCTGTTTTTCAGCAACACATGGCTGTTTTTTCAGCAGCCTTCTAGCCCTCAAACATTGGTGTTTTTTTATCAAGACATCTGTGGTTTTTGTTGCCTTAATCTAATCGCACATTAATGAAATCAAATCAACTTTATTTATATGGCACTTTTTATACAACAGTAACACAAAGTGCCTCACAGAGGTTAAAAACAACAAAGATCCAAAGAGAAAAGAAAAAGAAAAGAGAAAACCCAACCCTCCCACACAACAAAAAGCTATTTAGCTCATAAAATTGAGTTAGTAGCTAGGTAAGAATGATGTAAAACAGTGACATAAAATGCATCAAAACTAAAACCTATAACTAAAATAACAAAAGATAAAGGTTAAATGAGATAAGAACGTAAAAAGAGGAAGGGTAAGAATATAAAAAATAAATAACAAAATTGATAATAGATGGATAAATCGGTTATAAGACGAATTTAAAGTAGATAAATAAAGAGATCAGTTAAAAGCCTGATTAAAAAGATGAGTCTTGAGCCTCTTTTTAAAAACATCAACAGTCTCTTCAGCTCTGATGTTTTCCGGCAGGCTGTTCCACAATCGGGGGCCATAATAATTAAATGCCGCCTCCCCGTGTGTTTTAGTCCTAACTTGTGGTATGGTTAAAAGGCCGGTGCCGGAGGACCTCAGGGTCCACGAGGGTTGATATGATAAAAGCAGGTCAGATAAATAAGATGGCCCAAGACCATTAAGACATTTAAAAGCTAATAAAAGAACCTTAAAATCCATCCTGAAACACACGGGGAGCCAATGCAGCCATTTTAAAACTGCTGTAATGTGCGCCCGCCCTCTGGTCCTCGTCAGCACTCGTGTGGCTGAATTCTGTAATAACTGTAGATTTGAGATACTCTTTTTGGGAAGACCAGAGAGCAGGACATTACATTAATCTACCCTACAGGAGATAAAAGCATGCATCAGCACCTCCACAACGTTGGTACGTAATAACATGCAGATGTAACATATCTGTGGTTTGCAGAATCGTGACGACCAGAAGAAGCATTTATAATCTAAAAACATGTTTCTTTCTCCTTTCTTAACACGTCACAACATGTTTGTGTGTGTGTGTTCCTGTTGTCCACAGTTCAGACCGAAGCTCCGGTGAATCTGACCTACGTGCTGACGGATGCTGGTGGGGATGAGATGGGTCACAATGCGCTGCTGTCCTGGACGTACCCGGTGCCCTCCGACCTGCAGTATGGCTGGATCACGCTGGTGTACGAGCTGCAGTACAGACGTGTCACTGAGCCCGACAACTGGAAGGTACACAGAAAAAAATGTTCACGTACACATACAGAGCAACACGATCCACTTCTGGTTCGACTGATGAGAACAGTCTGATGTTCTGTATATAATAAACATGTGGTGTGACGCAGGTGAAGCACCCTCTGCGGGAGCCTCACGTCGAGCTGCTCGGCCTCCCTGTCGGCGACTTTGTGGTCCGAGTTCGCTGCCGCTCGCACAACTACGGCCTGTGGAGCAAATGGAGCCCCACGCTGCTGATGAGCATCCCCGCCAGGCCGCCCGCAGGTACCAAGGGCTGGGAGGGTTTCCATGGCAACGGTGATAAACGCAGGTTTATTACACTATAGGAAGCTGAAGTTTTTTTTAATTTGATGTTTCTGATGGTTTGAAATATAACAGCTGGCTTTGGTTTTTATTGTATTGACCTACATCTCAAGAGCGCCTTGAGGGAACGGTTTTCAAAATTTGGCACAAACGTCCACTTTAAGATACGGATGAACTGATGAGATTTTGGTGGTCGTAGCTCAAAGGTCAAGGTCACTGTGACCTTATCTGGCTCATTCTCATGAATTGATATCATAGGAAACCCTAAAGGGAATGTTTTTCAAATTTGGCACAAACATCCACTTGGACTCAACAATGAACTGATTGAATTTTGATGATTAGAGGCCAAGATCACTGTGACCTTGTGTCTGTCTAAATCTTTTGAATGTGATATCTCAACAACACGGTGAGGGAATTTCTTCAAATTTGGCACAAACATTCACTTTGAGTCAAGGATGAACTAATTAGAATTTGGTGGTCGAAGGTCGAAGCTCAAAGGTCAAGGGCACTGTGACCTTGCATCTGCCTCATTCTCATGAACACAATATCTCAATAACACCTAATGATAATGTTTTTCAAATTTGACACAAATGTCTACCTGGACTCAACAATGATCTGATTAAATTTTGATTATTAGAGGCCAAGGTCACTGTGACCTTGTGTCTGTCTAAATCTTGTGAACATCATATGTCTTAAGAATACTTTGAGGGAATTTCTTCAAATTGGGCACAAACATTCACTTTGAGTCAAGGATGAACTAATTAGAATTTGGTGGTCGAAGGTCGAGGCTCAAAGGTCAAGGGCACTGTGACCTTGCATCTGTCTCATTCTCATGAACACAATATCTCAAGAACATCTAATGGTAATGTTTTTCAAATTTGACACAAATATCCACATGGACAATTGGGCACACAAACATTCACTTTGAGTCAAGGATGAACTGATTAGAATTTGTTGGTGTAAGGTAAAGGTCACAGCACCTGTCTCATTCTTGTGAATGTATCTCAAGAAGGCCTTAAGGGAGTTTCCTCAACTTTGGCACAAGTGTCCGCTTGGACTTAATAATGACCTGATTAGAATTTGGTGGTCGAAGGTCGAAGCTCAAAGGTCAAGGGCACTGTGACCTTGCATCTGTCTCATTCTCATGAACACAGTATCTCAAGAACATCTAATGGTAATGTTTTTCAAATTTGGCATCAACATCTACTTGGACTCAACAATGATCTGATTAGATTTTGATTACTAGAGGCCAAGGTCACTGTGACCTTGTGTCTGTCTAAATCTTGTGAGCGTCATATGTCTTAAGAACACCTAAAGGGAATGTCTTTCAAATTTGACACAAATGTCCACGTGGACTCAACGCTGACCTGATTAGATTTTGGTTGTCGAAGGTCAAGGTCACAGTGACCTTGTGTCTGTCTAAATCTTGTGAACGTGATTTATCTTAAGAACACTTTGAAGGAATTTCTTCAAGTTTGGCACAAACGTTTACTTTAAGTCACAGTGATTTAAGGTTATGGTCACTGCACCTGTCTCATATCTCAGGAACAGAAGGGGAGACATTTGATCAGATACTGAATTTATTTTTATTTTCATTTATTGTTTTGTTGTGTTTTGTCCCATCGCTGCAGCTGCGTCTGTCATTAACTTTTTTAGGACAGTTGTAATAAAACAAACCATTTTACAGCACAGCGTCGGAGCTTCAGTCTGTCCTGTAGTTTCAGTCTCTCAGGACAGATTTAAAGGGGCGAAGCTGTCGGTTTTAAATGTATTAAGAAGGTTTGACTCACATGTGTGCTGATCTGGAGTCAGGGATTATCCTGCAGTCCGAGGGAACCCTGCTGTCAGCATTTGCTTTTCCAAGTAAACGTGCAGCCCTGAAGCTGAAGGGGAGGAACGGTGGGGGGAGGGACAGAGAAGCTGAGGTGTGACTCTAATGAAGTGTCTCTGGTTGAACCTGTGCAGGTAAACTCCTGGTGCTGATCCTGGTGACAGGAGTCGGTGTCATGGCTCTGCTGGTCATCGCCTTCGGAGTCATTCCACAGAGCAGGAGGTGAGTTTTACTGCATTTCATATTTAATGCAACATTATCAACATTACAGCTGCAGAAATAAGGACGCCTCGCTCTGCAGCTGAAACTGCATTTTACACTGATTCACATTAAAGGAAATGTGTTAAAGGATCGATACAAGTGAGGGAAATAAAACATTCATCAGATTCAAATGAGCATAATTAGGCACAGCTGCGTTTGTGCCACTAAATTCAGGTGTTCTTTAGCGACCCTTCGCTGCATTCTCCAGCAGCATTTGTGCCACTAAACAGGTGTTGTTAATGAGCCTTGGCCATGCTCTAGCAGTGTTTGCGTCAACAAACTCTTTCAGCAACCTGTTGCTGCGTTTCATGTAGAGATTGTGACACTAAATGTGGGTGTTTTGTAGTGACTCCTCACTGCATTTCCAGTGGCGTTTGTGCCACATAATGTTGGTGTTCTTAAGCAATCCGTTGCTGTATTTCCAGCAGTGTTTGTGCCACAAAGCACAAGTGTTTTTAGCAACCTGTCGGCACATTTCCAGCGGCTTTTGTGCCACCATACGTGGGTGTTTTTTAGCGACCAGATGCTGCATTTACAGCTGTTTGTGCCATCAACATGTTGTTTTTTCAGTGACCTGTGGCCATGTTTGATTTTTTTAGCAACTTGTTGCCACATTTCCAGCAACGGTTGTACCACATAGTGCTGGTCTCAATGCTGCATTTCCAGCAATGTTCGTGCCACCAAATGTCGCTTGTGTTAGCCACCTGTTGCCACATTTTCAGCTGCGTTCGTGCCACCAAACACGTTTTTTTTGTGACCCATGGCCATGTTTTCAGCAGCATTTGTATCAACAAACTCTTTTAGCGACCCGTTGCTGCATTTCAAGTAGCGTTTGTGCCATTAAAGGTGGGTGTTGTTAAGTGACCCGTGGCTGCATTTTCAGCTCCATTTGTGCCACATAATGCTAGTGTTTTTTTTAGCAACCTGAAACTGCATATCCAGTGGCGTTTGTGCCAAAATTGTGTGACATGGTTATTTTTGTGACCTTTGGCCATGTTTTCAGCAGTTTGTGCCAAATCATGATCTTTTCCTAACCATAACCAAGTGGCGTTTGTGCCACGTAATGTTGGTGTTCTTAAGCAATCTGTTGCTGTATTTCCACTAAACACAAGTGTGTTTAGCAACCTGTCGGCACATTTCCAGCGGCGTTTGTGCCACCATACGTGGGTGTTTTTTAGCAACCAGATGCTGCATTTACAGCGTTTGTGCCATCAACATGTTATTCTGTTTTTTTCAGTGACCTGTGGCCATGTTTGAGGCAGTGTTTGTGCCACTAGACACAGGTTTTTTTAGCAACCTGTCGCCACATTTCTAGCAACATTTGTACGACACAATGCTGGTGTTTTTTATGCTGCATTTCCAGTGGTGTTTGTGCTGCCAAATGTCGGTTATGTTAGTCACCTGTTGCCACATTTTCAGCAGCGTTTGTATCAACAAACTCTTTTAGCGACCCGTCAATGCATTTTCAGCGCCATTTGTGCCACATAATGCTAGTGTTTTTAGGGACGTCACACTGCAGATCCAGTGGCGTTTTTGCCACCAAACCAAACCTTTGGCCATGTTTTCAGCAGCGTTTGTGCCAAATCATCTTTTCCTAACCATAACCAAGTGGGTTTTGTGCCTTAGCGTAACCACAGGGTTGTTGAAACGTAAAGAAAGTCTCAACATATCGTACAATGCTAACATTTATTCTGGCGACTGGGCTGAACAGTCACAGGTGCCCTTTTTTTCCCTTTTCAAACTTCCTCTCTTTATGTTTTAACCTTCAGAATAAAAGACTACTTCCTGCCGCCCATTCCAAAGCCGCGGATCATCGGCATTGACCCGCTGCTGCTGAAGGTAACACTGCTACTCACTTTTCATTTTTTAATTTAATATCTTTTCTTCTTTTTATATATTATATCTCTCCTCCTGTTTTCCTTAGTAATTTTCTTCACTTTCTTCATCTCCTCCTCCTCTTCATTTTTCTCCTTTCTCTCCATACCTATCAACCCCCGTACTTTGTCTTTTCTTGTTTGTTGTCCTTACCTTTTTTGCTGTTTCATTCCTCTTTTCTTTCCCTTTTTCTCCTTCTTTAATTTGTTTTCCCTCCTTTTCACCATCTTTTTCCTCCTCCTCTTCCTTTTTCCTCCCTTTTGTTCATTGTTCGTTTCATTTGTCTTTTATTTCTTTGCCTTTTTTTGCTCTGTCCTTTAACATATCTTTTTCTTTATTTTTCTTCCTCCATTTCTTTTCCTGTTGTCTTCGTCCTCTTCCTCTTTCCTTCCTCTGACCTCCGTCCTCAGAAGGGGAACTTGGATGAAATCAACCGTCACTTCAGTAACTTCCACAGCTACAGGCCTCCGAGCTACACGGAGGAGGTTTGGGACCACGTCAGCACCAACGACGTCTATCTCACCACGCCGAAGGACTGCAGCGTCCCGGCCGACCAGACGGACCGGCAGAAGGATGCCTTGATGGTTCCGTGCGACCTGACGCCCGTGGCGGCCCATCACCACCTCACAACCCAACATCCGTCATCATACGTGCAGGGCCTGTCGCCCTACTGCTCCTCGTCTCCTGAACCCTTTGCTCCTTCACTGGACCCACCTTCCTCGTGGCCAAGGCCAGAGATCGTGTCGCTGCCGGGGACAGAGTACAGCGTTATGGGACATCCAGGCCTTCCCAACGCCGTCCCCGCTCCCGTTGCCACCAGCCGCTCGCCGCAGGATTTCTACACCTGTGTGCAGCTCATGAATGAAATTGGCGAGGTGCACCTCGTGCCATGCCTGCCGCCGCCGTACTGCCGGGAGTTCCCACCTCTCCCGAGGGCAAACTCGGAAGCGGAGGAGAAGAAGAAGGAGGAGGAGAAGAAGAAGAAGCTGGCCGACTGCCAAGCCAGGACAACTGCGATGAAAGATGGCGGCGAGGCTGAGAGGAGCGAGGCGGCGGTTCCTCTGCTGCCCATCACTGTCGATAACAAAGGCTGAGCCACGAAAATACAGATACTGTGAAAACTGCTGCCATGTTCAGAGCGGGGATCTAACGTGACCTGCCGGTTTGACTCGAGACTCGAGAAGAGCACCACATTGACCTTAAGATGGGAAGTGCACCCGCAGGACATCGGCAGCGAAACAACAATGCAGACTCTATGAAACACTTGTGGCGCAGCGTTGTGTTTAGACGACAGAGACGTTTGTAAAAGTTCCTCTGGACGTCGACTTTTTTCTGTTTTTTGGTAACTCTGCCCACCAAACGTGGCGATGTAAAGGCTGCAGGTGGAAACATTTTCTAGAGCCAATTTCAGGTGAATCAAAACTCAAATTCCAAACTAAATTGCTGCCAAGCAGGCACTCCGTCCAATAGAGGCTGGACTTGCTGATGAGTGTAACAGTCACATGACATGATTTATGGGTAATGAAGTCCGTCAACCTTAAAGAGAGAACTGTGGAGATAAATTTGTCTCAATGTTATTTAGGTCCTGAGCGACACACCTGGACCCCAAACAGCTATAAATTCAACTTTTTATTAAGGCTTGAATTTGCACATGTTTAATGGCAGTGAGTCAGATCCACAGCTCATCCTCCTGCCCAAATATGGTTATTTCTGGCTCCAAAAAATCAAGATGGCAACATCCAAAATACCAACCTCGAGGCTTCAAAATAAACCACAAAATTTGGCTCCATTACAGCTCACAAGGTTCACTGATAAAACAGTTCTTACACTAAACACGTTTTGCAAACAAATACAACATGCTAACGTTATTAGCACAAGCCTATGGCATTTTACATTGTATAAATTAGCCTAGCAGCTAGCAGAGATGTCCTCTTCTCATATGAAGCCAGGTTAAATCACACACAGGACTTAGGGTGTCAAGAGTCTCCTAACACTACAAAGAACATTAAAAACATATGGGTTTATGTAGTATTAAGACAAATCTATCTCCACAGAGTAGGACGTTGCCTCGTGCAGCTTTAAATAAGAACAAACAAACATGAACACACCACATGTTGCGTCTCCCAAACTGTCACATTCAGGATTTCTCTTTCAGGAAATAGAAACAGCAGTGACAGAGATTTCTTTTCATTATTTTACTCAGCATTGTCTTTCGTCTTGACTCTGTTAGTGTTTACATGCTGTAATGCTCCAGGTATTAGCCTTAGCCCGTCGAGACAATCTTTGCACATTCTTTAATCTCCCTCAGATATCACAGTTACCATGTGATTTTCATATTCAGGATATGTTCGTGTTCCTTTAGTCTCCACTCAGCGGTGCTTATTAAGGGGATATTTGCTCATCCTGAAGATGTGAAGGGCGCCGTGTCTGACTCTGAATCTGTCTCGTTATCCGTCTCTCGTCTCGCAGAGCTCTGCAGAGTCTTCAAAACGTTGTGATTTATTCTGAAGACTTGTTCAAAGAGGTCGGGAGCAAACGGACCCTCAGGAAGACGTCCGCTGTGAATCTTACTCAGCTGGATTTCTGTTCGTCACGCTGAAACGAACCTCTCCAACACTGCTCTCACTGCGGTGTTTTCTGAACTTCATTTTCCAGAGAAGCGTTTGGAAGAAGCAGGCCCCTCTCGGATGTTATTTTTTATAATGAACAAATTTAACACTAGTAACACAGAATATTTTGTATATTATAGAGATGCTGAACCTCAGGTAGTGTTTTCTTTTTTTCTACAAGTGAAAGTATTATGGGTTACATTCAGACAACGCCTGTGATTTCTCCTCCTGTCCTCATGTTTCTGAGGCGTTAAAAGGACAGTTATGATTTTTTAACGTGGGGTTGTTTGAGGTATTTATTTATAGTCAGTATATTACCTACATATGAAAAGTGACGTAATATTGAAGGCTAGTAAAGAAGGAAGTAGTATTAAGAGCTACAGTCCACATATGAAGGCAGGTTGGGGTGGGTGGGTCAAACAGACACCGGACTTTAACCCAGGAGACCGATGTTTGTGACCCGTATGAAACCGTTTTAACTTATTTTAAGGTACATAGTCACGCTATGTTAAGTACGTAACTGTATGTTAGGTACATAGCCTAACAGTAGCCAACCACATTTATTTTCCTAAATCTAACCTACGTAATTTTACCCCCCTAACCCTAACCTACAGGACTCTAATTTCTTAAACTTAATCTTTGTAACTTTACTTGCCTGAACCTAACCTCCTTAACTTTATGTAATGTAACTATACCCAACCATTATTCTTAAACGTAACATAAAACTTAACCTACGTAACTTTACTTGCGTACACCTCACTTACATAACTTTACTTGCCTAACCCTAACCTAAGTAACTTTACGTTAAGTATGTAACATGACTACACCCAACTATAATTCTTTTCCTAAAATTAACCTAAGTAACTGTGCTTGCCTAAAGCTAACCTACATGACTTTACGTTAAGTGCATCACCTGACTACACCCAATCATAATTCTGTTCCTAAACCTAACCTACATATCTTTACTTTCCTAAACCTTACCTACGTACGTTTACATTAAGTATGTAACTTTATGTTAAGTATGTAGCATAACAATGGCCAACCGTAATCTTTTCCAAAACCTAACCTATGTTATTTTGATTTTCTAAACTTAACTTGCGTAACTGTACTTATCTAAACCTAACCTACATAACTGTACTTGCCTAAAGTTAACCTACATAATCTTACGTTAAGTACGTAACTTTATTATAAACACGTAACTTGACTACACCTAATCATAATTCTTTTCCTAAACCTAACCTACGTAACTTTACTTCACTTATGTAACCTTACCTACATAACGCTACATTAACTACGTAACTTTGTTAATCACGTAACATGACTACAACCAATCTTTCCTAAACCTAACTTACTTAACTTTACCTGACTAACCCTAACCTACATAACGCTACATTAAGTACGTAAGTTTATGTTAATCACGTAACACGACTGCACCCAATCTTTTCCTTAACCTAACCTATGTAACTTTAGTTTCTTAAACCTAACCTACTTAACTTGACGTACTTAAAGCTAACCAGCATAACTTTACGTTAAGTACATAACTATATGTTAAGTGCGTAATGTGACTATATCTAATCAGAATTCTTTTCCTAAACCTAACCTACGTAACTTTACTTCACTTATGTAACCTAACCTACATAACGCTACATTAACTACGTAACTTTATGTTAATCATGTAACATGACTACAACCAATCTTTCCTAAACCTTACTTACTTAACTTTAGTTTCTTAAACCTAACCTACTTAACTTGACGTACCTTAAGCTAACCAGCATAACTTTACGTTAAGTACATAACTATATGTTAAGTGCGTACGTGACCACAACCAATCATAGTTCTTTTCCTAAATGTAACCTACGTGACTTTGAGTTAAATATGTTACTTTACATTAAGCTCAAAACGTGACTATGCCCAAACATAGTTCTTTTCCTAAACCTAATCTACGTAACTTTATGTAAAGTTCGTAACATGACAGTGCTCAGCCATGATTCTTCTAAACCAAACCAAGGGGGCACTCATTTGTTAGAAAACTGTTGTATGATCATACGTTGACCAGCAGCAGGTGGCTAAAATACATTTTGCTGCTCCCCTGTCCACAGCAGTACATTGCTTAGCTTACCTGGTGGTACTCCTGTCTGCTTCTCCAAACTGGGGGCGTGCCGACTGTCATCTACTGTAGGTAACACGCTGACTATGGATAAGTGACTCATACAACCCTACTTCAAAAGATCTGAACTATTCCTTTAATGAAAACGAGGTGGGAAACTTGAACATTTTCAGCTACTAATGGTGTTTTTTAACGTCAGCAGTCGGACATTGCTGTGACCACAGTGTTGATACACCTCCAGTGTGTTCAGTCCCTGCAGTATTCTGTCATGTTGATGAAGTTGCTCTGCGGCAGGTTGAGGTGCTAACTGGGGATCAATCTAAAGCAACATTGACCCTGAAGCGTCTTAAAGAAGCTATGAAACACTGGTTATTGTCTGTCCACAGCACTGGTCCCTGCGCTCTGACACAGCCGTCACTGTCCTCCTCTCACTGATGTCGCTGTTGGATGTCATGCTGTTTATTCTCGTGCCTGTATGTGCCTTTTTGTTTTTCACACAGCAGTATGTGTTTCCACTCCTACACGCCTGGAAGTGTCTCCATGTGAGGGTTAAACAGTGAACGACACTTGATATAAATATATAAAATGAAATATGTGCACAGGTGTGCTGTGTTGAGCATGTACTGTATAAAGACCCGCTCAGTGTTAGTTACATTTTCACCTTTTATTGTGACTGAAGCCACCGACACCACTTTTCTTCTCGTCAGACAAAAGCACTTTGGATTCGATGCAATAAAAAGTGAAAAGGCTGAAAGGTGTGCATGCTTCATTTACACACACACACACACACACACACACACACACACACACTTTACTTTCACTTTAACCAGCAGGTTTTGGTACCTGGCGTCTCATAGCGATGCACAGGGCGCCATTTCACATCTCAATGTGACGCAGGTTTAGGCAACAAAACTACTTTTGTTTTTATGCCTCTGCACCAGTTATAGCAGTGGGTGGAGGCACTATGTTTTCATCTCAAAAACACCTCAAGAATTTCTTCAAATTTGGCACAAACATTCACTTGGCCTCAACAATGAACTGAGTAGATTTTGGTAGTCGTCGGTCAAAGGTCAAGGTTGCTGTGACCTTGCATCCATCTCATTCTCGTGAACACAAGCTTGGGAGAATTAATTCAAATTTGGCACAAATGTTCACTTGGACTCAATAATGACCTGACCAGATTTTGGTGGTCAAAAGTCAAAGGTCAAGGTCACCGTGACCTTGTCTGTCTCATTCTTGTGACTGTGATATCTCAAGAACACCTTGCGGGAACTTGGATGACTACACTGACTAGAATTTGGTGGCCAAAGGTCACTGTGACCTGGGCCCGTATCCACAAAGAATCCTAAGACTAAAAGTAGCTCTTAGTGACGTCATTCTAAGAAAAATCTTAGAATTTTCCCTTGGTAAGATAAAAGTTATTCACAAAGCATCTTAGGCCTTAAGAGAGCTCCTAAGGTGAAAAACTGTTAAGAGGAGGGAGGAGGACTTTTAAGAAGCCTAAGAGTGTCTTAAACAGAGAAGATGGCGGAAAGACAGAGAGGAAGGAGAGATATTCTCCGTATATTGAACGACAGTGATTTAATAAGACGCTACCGGCTTGATCGTGCAGGGATAATGTTTGTGGTTGACCTCATCAGGGATGAGCTTACTTTTCCCACCCAGC